GGTGTCGCCCAGCCTTCGCCTTTCCTCACACCAAGGGGATGGAGCGTGTGTGTTTGTCTCCTTTTTCTGACATACCAAATGCTGGCAGGTATCTTACCCAAACATAATGCCTCGTGTGGCCATTACTGCACAATGTCACCAAACAAGGCTTAGACTGAATAACAGTTACATACTTAATTACTTAAGTTAAAGATACTTAATTAACGCATTGCAAGTTGAAGCCCCTTAGCCAGCTGTTCCCATTGTGACTGATAGGCTACCGAATGTCACTGCTGAGCAAGAGCACCTGTAGCTGCACAGCAGGATGCTATGGAGTGAAATAAATGGGGCTTGAGAGAGGGAAATCTGTGATAAAGATGTCATGTGTATTACAACTGACTTTGTTGGACTTGTGGAAAAAACTACGCTAATGTCATCCTTTGATTTTGGAACTCACAGTAAAACTCCAATATCAGAAAAAAACTACTGCTCCTCAGTCATTCACCAGAACATTACTGGTGCTTTCACTGCTAATAAAAATGAGTCTCTGGTAATTTTCGTAGCAGTTAAACTAATTAAACATTTTTATTTCTCTAGGAATATGTAAATAAACAAATATAATTTTCATATCCATGTCTAATCTTGTCGTAGAATTATATTGCTCTGCTAACTGTTAAATATTGATTTTTCTGTTCTTTAAAGATTTTTCCTACACATGGGTAAGCAAGCACATAAAAGACCTAAATAAAAGTAGTTTAATTGTATTAGTTGCATGTATGCGGGTATACATTCATATAAGTCCTTTATTTATACCACATTAAGCTCTATTTTGTGTGTGTGAAACCTCCAATTCCTTTGGTGCTGTCAAATGTTTATTTCATTTTAGAGCCGATAAAGTCTGCCCAGATACAGGACTCCTCTCAGCCCACCAATCGCCACGATGAGTGGGACAGGCCATGCATCACTTTGTTCATGATGTTTCCCTCAGACCAGCATGTTTTCAAAGGAGCGTAAGGAAGGTAGTGTACTTCCACAAATGTAATTACTTTCATAAAATGCATTAATATTTATTTTCCAGCCATTTCATGGTTTCTTCTTAGATAAAAAATATTCTATTGTGCTTGCTTTTCTTATTTATTAAGACTCATGAATCTTCTTTTTCTCATTAATTTCCAGATGTTTAGCATTGTCATTTTATGAGAAAGAATAAGTGAATGTGTTAGTCTCTCACATCAGTGAAAAAATTGCTGCAGGATTCATCCAGTTCTTGCTTCTTGCACTGAGGAAGATGAGGAGTGGTACAACTGTAGCACAGCCATCTGCCTGTAGTCAGTATAAAGCCATTAGTGTTGTGAATTAAACTTTTTTTGCAGCTTGTTTGGCAGTGTGACAGAAGGCAGAACAGTCAAACAGAAAAAGAGGTGACAGCCATGCTGTAAGCATCTGTAAATGCTTTATATCTTTATATCAAAAGACTATTTTAACTTTGTAATGCATTTCTTGAAGTCTAGGAGGTGGGAATAACTTTTTTTTTTGCCGTCCTTCATACTCGCTTCACAAAGTATGGGGGTGTTTACAGGAGCAATTTGTACAGTTAAATCCTCTTTTTTCTCTTTTTTTCTCCCTTTCCTCTCCTGTTTCTGTCTTTTTCCCCTTTCTCTCTCTTCCTTCCTTCCTACCTTCCTTCCTCCCTCCCTCCCGCCTGGATGCGTTCCTGTTTGACCTGGTCTAGGTGATCCTGCTCTGGCAAGGGGGTTGGACTGGATGATCTTTCAAGGTCCCTTCCAACTCCTAAGATTCTGTGATTCTGTGATTCCTTCCTGCCTGCCTTTCCGCCTTCCCTCCTTCCCTTCCTCTCTTTTCTCTCCTCTCTCTCCTCAGGGCCTCTTTGCTTTTGCTGAAAACCAGGTCTTCTTCCCAGGCAGCAGGAAGGTGTGAGACAAGTGTGATGACCGAATCAGCAGAGCTGCTGGTGGAGGGGAATTCCCTGATAAGAGCCGTCTATCAGAGCCGCCTTCGCCTCACCAGGCTGTTACTGGAGGGTGGCGCCTACATCAATGAAAGCAATGACAGAGGTGAAACCCCATTAATGATTGCTTGTAGGACAAAACATGTGGACTCCCAGAGCGTCAGCAAGGCAAGGATGGTTAAATACCTCCTGGAAAAAAAGGCTGATCCAAACATACAGGACAAATCTGGAAAGACAGCCTTGATGCACGCTTGTTTAGAAAAAGCAGGTCCTGAGGTGATATCTCTGCTGCTGAAAAGTGGAGCTGACCCGAGCCTGCAAGACCACTCCAATTGCTCTGCGCTTGTGTATGCAATAAACTCTGAAGACAAAGAGACCCTAAAAGTTCTTCTTAATGCCTGCAGAGCACAAGGAAAAGAAGTCATCATCATCACCACAGACAAGTCCGCATCAGGATGGCAGAAAACGAAACAGTACCTAAATGTGCTTCCTGCAGACCCTGAGGAATGCCATTCCCCAACTGCTTGCACTTCTCCATCAGAAATAGAACTGAAAACGTCTCCATCCCCACTTTCAAGTTCTAATGAAACTAAAAAAGCACTGTTCAGCTTTAAAGAGCTGGATCATCCACAGAGCGTGGACAACTCTTCTCAAACAGTGTCACCGACAAGAAAATATAGCTCAACAAAAGTAGGATCCAAGCTGGCACAAGTGCACCAGCTGCAGTCTGAACCTTGGATAAAGGGAATCCAAACTCCACCACTGTTTTACCAGACTAAAATTGCCTCTTTACAGGAAGATCTTCAGGATATTACTCCAGAAGAAGAGCTCTCTTTTAAAATCAATGGCCTTGCCTTATCAAAGAGATTCATCACCAGGCACCAAAGTATTGACATAAAAGACACTGCTCATTTTTTGCAAAGCTTTTATCAAACTGGATCAAGGAAATTATCGTATGATGAGATAAACTTTCAGACTCCTTATGTTGAAGAGAATCATAACCCCAGTGGGATTCCTATGGGCAAGGAAGCCAGTTCAGGACAGGCCAGCTTTATTTCAAAGCTCAGCAGTGTTATCCAGAAAAGAAATTCAGAAGCAAACCACTACAGCTCTGATTCTCAGCTAACTGCTAGTCTAAGTCCTGCTGCTGCAGAAGACAGTAAGTCAGTGATAGGAAAGAAATGGATATTTTCTCCATCCCACTCTTTGCTATCAAGTTCTAAGGAAGTACTGGAGAACATGCCTCCTGTTACTTTGAGCAGGAGAAATCAAGCCTTTCTAGAAAGACGGGGTTCAGGAGCTTTATCGTTGGATCATGTTGCTCAGACAAGACCAGGCTTTCTTCCACCACTGAATGTGAACCCTCACCCCCCCATTCCAGATATTACCTTCATAAACAGGGTTTCTGGGATGATTTCTTGTGGACAAAAACACTTGGTACCAGCAGCACCTGCTTTTCCTAGGGACACCAAATATATGAAAATGCTGTTAAGAAGGCAGTCATTACAGACTGAGCAGATTAAGCAATTAATGAATTTTTAACAAGGGATTAATAGGTTACAAAATCATTATGATATGTGGATATTCACTGCAGCAGCTGATTGTAGTGACGTATCACAAAAGATAGCAGCTCTGTGATGTAAGGTGCTCTGCCTTCGAGTGAGTTCAGTAGCTTAGAGACTACATGAAAAGATGTACTTAACCAATTATGCTGCTTTCTGCAAACTGAGGAATATTTTTTATACTGCTTTCATACAGTTTTCAGCTTCAGCACTGAAACCTTACCAGTGACAGGCTGAACTGGTAGTAGGTGCTGCAGTTCTCCTTTTAGGCTGGAAATGCTATCCCACCTAGGTTTCCCCAAATGCGTGCGCTTTCTGTACCCAGACAGGTGGTACATGTGGAATTTGGGAACTTGAAACACTGGACACCAGACAGACTCTGTCCAAGTTGTGCAGTACCTGAAAATCCCAGGGACAACCAGTGTGCACAAAGGGTGGGCAGTGGCAAGCGTACATGGGCAGTGTCTTCTGGCTTTGTTGGCTTTACTGCATGTAAATGGACAAAGAGTCAATGCAATTAATGCTGCACAGCCATGTTGCCTGCATACCTGTGCCCAGAGAGTCCCAGCTAAAGCCTGGGAGCTTGCTTTAGACTCCTTGCTGCCCACTGGAAGACAGTGTGATGCACAGAGCACTGCAGAGCTTGATTTCCACGTGACACCTGGGGGAGTCAAGAAGCCAGCAGAGCAAGCAAGAAGTCCTGGATAAGCTGGTGGAAAATGACCAAACCCCGCTTGCGCTGCTAATTGGGCACCTCAGTCAACTGGGGATTCTCAAACTATTGGATTGCTGGAATCTGCTCATTTCAAAAGAGGAAGGGTGGGAGGAGGCAGAGGCTGTATCTAAACTAAGGTCCATTACTTTCTGTAGTTCCAGACTCTCGACCCAAAAAAAAAATCTCTCCACATGATGCAGGAGCTCTTTTTCCCGCCACAGCCCTGGGGTTCTTTTCAAGACAGGATACAGATGATGGGGCACATCCAGATGTTGTCTTGATCAGCGAGGACACTTCACACACACACTTGGAAGCAAGGGAGAGCTCTGTCCTGCTCAGACCTAAAAAAACCCCTCATCAGCTGTCATGTTCACCTGGAAGTCCTCATTTTGCGTAATTTGAAGCAGAGGTTTGAACTTCTTATGGATAAGAAACACCTTTGCCTCCAAGCTATTGCGTATTTTAAGTATCTCTATCTAAAATCTGTACTTCCTTCCCATTCGCTGTTCTGACCATCTACCTTGTCTCTGCATATTCCATAGGTGCTTGGTTTCTGGTATTGCATTTGGCATTTATAGCTCGTCTTCTAAAGACTGAGAAATCTTGAATGTGTTTTGTCATAATTTACAGAAATTAATTGTATTGAAATTGTGTATGTATAATGTAGAATTCTATATACTGAAATTAGATACATTTTTTTCTGAAAATACACTGAGTTTTATCTGCCTTCTCGCAGCTTCAGTAAAAATTCGCCCAGTCTGATATTGCCTAACAAATAACTGTAATGTTATTTAGCCTTGCCCTTAGTATAAGACAGTTACAAGTGGATGATAAACATACAGTCTCTGTATATACCTTTTTATGTGAAAATATTAAAATGTTCAAAATTTCATAATATGCATATTTTGAAGAAGGGAACATTTGGCATCTGGAAAGTTAAGGACTATGGTCTACATCTCTACACCACAGAGTTGTATATCGAGCACAGATCTGAAATTACAAAGTTAAATCTTGAAATCAGTTTTGTGACACTATTTCTCCAGGTTGCAGTGCTGACTGTTAGAAGGCAGATGATCTTACTGTTGATTCTCTGGCCAAGCTCTCACAGGTAGCTAGAATAAGAGATGCAAATCTGTATCACAATTGTCAAAATTATTTGGACATATTGAATGTGTTTTGTCACCACAAAATGCAGGTCTTCAAAGCCCTGGTGTCCTTTGCCCTCTTCCCGTCACAGCTCTGCTGCCCTAGAATGCGTAACAGTCTGGTGACAGCTGGGAAGGCCCACGGCGAGCAGTGTGCACGTAAAGCATCCAAAAATGAGAAAGTTCCAAAAGTGAAGTTATGTACTAAGCTATAAAATACTGGTGGAAACGTGGTGAAGGTGATGGACTACCTGGTTCCATTCCAGTTCTGCCTCTTACTTCAGGAGCTGTTACTGGATCAGCATCCACATACACCAGGTAGAAACGTGGAAACCTTTTTATGAGACAGAATTTACAAGGAACAACGTATGTCAGTACTTAATTATTAACTGCATACAAATTGGCCCCTACAAACACCACATGCAGACACAATGTACTTTTAAAAATGCTTTTATGATATTATAAATGGCAGTGGCAATTCGTAATCTGTTCATCTCACAGCAGTTAAATTATTTGAAGCTAAAAATGTATCTTTAAAATATGAATTCTCTTTTAGAAAAAAGCTAACAGATCAGAAGTTCTAACGGGTATCGCTGCAGGTGTAAGGCCAGATTTCTGCTGTGTGGATTTTAAAATGAATGACATATATGGAGTTACTACTCCCTCAACTGAAACAGTAATTATTTCTTTTTTTACGAAATGCTCAGGCAATGGAGGAAAATGGCAAATGTCTTGAGAAGCATGGTTCTTCTGTGTTGGTGTCAGTATTTTGTGCTTAATTTTGATGCAGAAGTAATATGAAAGGTTAATGTTAATGTTTATTGTTGCATCAATGTTACAGGTGACCTTCAAAGAAAAAATGATTCTGTTTTGTTCTCTTGATGTTGTTATGATGCATAAATAAAAGTTATCTTTTCCCCATTCAGGGAATATGGAAACAGACACATTCTTTTATTCACCATTGCAGAGATGCTGAGTCACTGCCAAAGGTTTCCACTCATATTTCTCAGGCTGTGTCTGCACAGGGAAATAGGAACAAATTTAATCCAACATAGCTAAATTTGTAGTAAGTATTGTGTGAGAGTGGCTCTTTGGCACTGTCCATAGCTTACTGTGGGTCCATGCCAGTGGAGGTAACTTCTGCCATCTTTGAAGTCTTAATCCTTGACATTTTCCAGTCATCCATAATGTCTTCTAAGCAAAGAATAGAAAGCGAGACCTGGATTTCTAATGCTAAATTCCCTCCACGAAACGTTAAAGTTTACAAACAACAAAACACCTGTCAGGTGTTCTTTATGCATCTTGATGCTGAAAACATCACAAGCAGAAGCATTTTCTTTGCTTGTTTTTGTTTAAGAGCTGCAGCTTCCCATCCGCAGAGAACCACTGGGACCAGTTCTCACACCTTACAGTGAAAAATAGTGAAGCTCATCTGCTCTAACTTACAGAAAGATTAAACATTTAAACCCTTAAACATTCGTATTTTCAACTATGTAAAATGGATGTGGCATTTCTGCAAGCAGGCGTTCCTGTCAACACATGCTACAGCTTTCAGTCCAACAGTCAACCTATGAGATTACTGATTTTGAATCTATGTGACAAGTTTCAAAAAAGATGAAAATAATTTTCTAGTTTTGGTTTTCATTTTCTCTGAAAAATGCTGTGAAACCATACAATGAAATTAATGTCTAGACAAATAGTGGCCTCACTAAAAACAGTGATCATATAAAAAGCTTTGTGTTTTAGAGAATGCTCTAAAAACCAGTGTTCAAGGTTGTGTTTAAGGTGTGGCATTCACATTAGTTTTCAAAATACCCTTCTCTGCACTTCTAGTTTGTTTTTGCTTTAAGGAGAAAGGCATTTGGAGTTGCTTTGTTTTGATTTTTGTCTTTTACAATTTTGTGGCATTTCTAAAAGAATACTGGCATAATCTGATGCAGCTACACAAGAAAAATAGTAAACTAAACCACTCATTAAGTTCCTTTTTCCATCAATCCTTAAGACCTTCATCTTTCTGTATTCTACTCTGCCCTGGTGAGACTGCATCTGGAATATTGTGTTCAGTTCTGAGCCCCTCCATTCAAGAAGGACAGGGATCTGCTGGAGAGAGTCCAGTGCAGAGCCACAAAGATGACTGAGGGAGTGGAGCATCTCCCTTATGAGGAGCAACTGAGGGAGCTGGGTCTCTTTAGCTTGGAGAAGAGGAGACTGAGGGGAGACCTCATTCATGTTTAGAAATATTTAAAGGGTGAGTGTCACGAGGATGGAGCCAGGCTCTTCTCAGTGAGAGCCAATGACAGGACAAGGGGCAATGGTCACAAACTGGAGCATAGGAGGTTCAACCTAAACATACGGAAAGTCTTTACTGTGAGGGTACCAAAGCCCTGGACCAGATTGCCCAGAGAGATTGTGGAGTCCCCTTCTCTGGAGACATTCAAAACCCACCTGGACGCGTTCCTGTTTGACCTGGTCTGGGTGATCGTGCTCTGGCATGGGGGTTGGACTGGATGGTCTTTCGAGGTCCCTTCTAACTCCTAATATTCTGTGATTCTGTGAATTACAGAAGTATTACTTAAAACTCCTTAAAAATCCTCTATGGTAGTATGTACTATGTAGCAGGTGAAATGTGTCATTAAATGGTAAAAAGTCCAGGCTGAAAGGAACCTCTGGAGGTTTCGTCCAAGCCTCAGCTCAAGGCAGGGCACATCTCAGCCTCACTGCTATCTGAACTGTATTCAGGAAGCCCACATATTAACAGTTCAGTGCTTTAAGGAAGCACCAGAGGACTAAAAGCAACCAACATGAAGTCAAAACCACTATTTCAAATTTACCCATAAAGATGGCATCTCCTGTGCTAGCACCACACCATAGATCTGATGTTAATTCCAAGGTTTTGTCCCAGGCAAGAAAAAGTGTTTCTATTCAGCCATTTAAAAAAACATGCTAAGATTTTAAACTGAACAGTGATTTTATTTTTTCTTAGGAAATGTATGCAGTTTATTCACAGAACCACAGAATGTTAGGGATTGGAA